CAGCAGGAAGCACTGGAGCAAATGCTGCTCCTGCCCGCCGGAGCCGGGAGGCACAGCCGCACACGGAGGCGAGACGCCGTCCATCGGTGATGGAAACTCTGCCTCTCCCCAAAACAATGTACCAACGGGCAGAGGAGAGACCAAAATCTGGCTTTTCTGAACTACCCTTTCTGCCCCCAAGCCCACTTCAATCACTCGTCGTGATGATGGACCGTTTTGGTATAAAACCATCCTGCTTCAGGCCAGTGTTTCTCTTTACTTGGGAAAATTCGGATGTAGACAGCAAAATCACATCCATTCAATGTGGTCTCTTAGGCAGTATCCTGATGCCACCGTTCATCAGATGAGGAGTGTTCGCTGACTTTCAAGCTTCACTTCAGTGGAGGTTTAAACTGTGCCACTCGTATTTATAGCACTTCACTATCAGTTTTATTAAAATATATTTAAAAAACTATAAAAAACTTCTAAATGGTATTAAAGAACCTAACTTGTCAGCAACAGCAGCATATCCTGTATTATTCTACAGAACATTAAACTGACCAACAGAAAAATTAAACTATTCTAGACCATGCAGAATAAATAAAACTATCCTGAATTTTATTAGTTTTGTCCCAATTAAATTATATCAATTACTTTAACAAAAAAGACGGTTTTTATTTTATAGTTACATACTATAGATCATTCTGACAGTAACTCCCCTTTCTTTTTCATGTCATTCTCCTCTTACCAGCCCCTCAGAATATTCACAAGAATCAAATTTAAGCTCAGTTATATGAGTCCTGCTAGTAGAAACAAGTTTAAGGAAAAGAATAAGTCATTCCATAAACATATATATCAGAGAAAATACAGCTTTTCATGCCACTTTTGACACAGAGTAAGTTCTTGTAAAATTTTATAATGATACAGGTATAACAGTTGTCAAAGAAATACATTACTAGTTACTGATGTCATTAAACAAAGTCAACCAAAATAAAGCATTTGTAGAAGTTCTCAGTTTAAAAAACAAAACACAAAATCTGCATCAAGAATCTGATCTCAATTGCCTGTAAACAGCATCCAATAAATCAAAGGGGCACATTAGGACTAAGAATTCTTCTTTTAAGAACAATTCTACCTACTAATAACCCCTCAAAATTTCCTAGGTAAAGGTGAATGAAATTAGAGCTCAACCTGCTAAAAACTGAATGGTTAAAGGAATATAAAACCTTCCTGAAAGAGGGAAACCTAACTGAAAGAGGGCAGATTTAGATTGGATATAAGACAAAAATTTTTCACTCAGAGGGTGATGAAGCACTGGAACAGGTTGCCCAGAGAAGCTGTGGCTGCCCCATCCCTGGAAGTGTTCAAGGCCAGGTTGGATGGGGCTTTGAGCAACCTGGTGTAGTGGAGGGTGTCCCTGCCCATGGCAGGGGGGTTGGAACTGGATGATCTTTGAGGTCCCTTCCAACCCAAACCGTTCCGTGATTCTGTGATTCTATGATTCCACCAAATAAAGTGGATAACTCAGGGTACTGACGTGGCTTCACAGGTTATCGTGCAGCAGCTGGACTGTGCTGAGCAGTTCCGTGCCTGCTGTCAACCTGCACAGAGTCAACAAAAGGCTAAAACTTGAAGAGATTTAAGTGTATGGCTAAAAAACAAGCACACTGCCTGAAAGCTGAGCTATCTACCTCCTCCAAGCTGCGTCAGGGCATTACTGCGTCCCAGGCAAGACCCTCTGCAGCAGGGCACCGAGTCTAAAATTTCTCAAGCCTGAAGGAAAGACCATTCTTCTCCCCTGCCCCCTCATTTAAGTTCCAGCAGTTGAGGAACTCCACCTCAAAACTCCCAGAAGAAAATGTACTATCACTGCTCTTCCACAGGCTGGCTGGAGGGAAATGAAGTTTTGGAAAGAGAACTTCTGAGTAGTCACAGCAACTTAACACTTCATTTCCACCGGTTCACGCTTAGAAGTAAGAACAGATACAAACCTTGTGTGTTCTTGAAGGACATAATAGCTTGCCTGTAGGGATTCGGTGTGTCTGGAGCATCGGTCAGATTAGCCAGGACCAGGAGAAGCAGCAGACTCTGGTTAGCTAGAGGGGAGCAATGCTCCAGCTGCGGTGATGGTTTATTCCCCACTCTACCTAGCGTGAAGACTGTCCACAGGCCAGCTAGAGAGAAAAGGCAAAAAATATTAGGTGAGTTCACATTTTAATGAACAAAGCTCCATCACATTTCAACGAACAAGGCACCTTTAGAGGAAAAGACAGCACCTGACAGACAGGTAGAGAGAAGAGAGAAAAACAATTCACCCCTGTACGATGAGACGACAGGTCTGGCTATTTGATTTCTCCTCAAAATGAAAATGTCAGGAGTAACACAGCAGCAGGCATGGAGAGGTGGGAATTGAAAGATTACTGGAAATTCAAGAAAATTAAGTCATAGGAATATATGAAAAGGAAATTAGGAGAGTTGAAACACAAGCTTATGTTTGAAGTGGAGAACCTTAAACAGAGAAGGACTGATGCTGAAGGACTCAGGTAGCAATCCTGCTAACGCTCACATAACAAGAGAGGGAAAGGAGCTTGTGTGTTGCCTTTTTACTAAAACTGACTTGGTCCAATATGCAGCATTTTTCTCATGTATCCTAATTTTAATAAACCCAGCAGATTTTAGGCAAAACACAGCAACAAAAACTAATACCGCTCAAACTAGAACCTCCAGATTGAGAGTCCTGTAGAGATCATCATCGTTGGTCATTATTGTAGGTAGACAACATAATAGCAAATAATAAACTTCTTAGGAAAGAAAAACAAAACAGGATCAACACAGATTTAAATTCAAATGTTAAGGTATAATTAAACTCAGCCTCACATTTTTGCATTCCTAAGGAAGATGAAACAACTTGAAAAAACACTCCAGTTCGCAGTACTTACACTGCTCTGAAATTCCTTTTTAAGAGACTGCATAGAAGATGTAAAGGTTTGGAAGTACAAACTGTTTACAGAAATTTGAAGTTAAAAATTTAGTTAAAAAGAAATAAATGTTTGAAGTGAGAAACCACTATAGATGCTGTCAAAAAAAACAGACTGATTGATTCCTCTTGAGTAAGTAAGTTTTTATTGTCTCAATACTGCCCCGAGAATACACATGTAACAAAGCACCAAAACTTAATTCGTTTTAGACCCATAAAAATTTATTAGGTATGAAAATGTAAATAGCTCATCATTCCACACTAACTCTCAGTTCTCAGCTCATTATTGGGCAAAAAGTTAGAGGAAACCATAAAACTTGCCTCCTTCATGGCTATGGTGGCACAGCACAACTTCAACATCACTGGGCCTCTACCTTTATCACATCCGGGCTCCTGAAACACTCTGAAAAATTTAAGTGCTAAGCAGGCATTTGGGGATGAATATAATAATCCAATGTGACTGAGAAGGGCTGCTTCTTATCACCTGGGAGTGTATCCTGAAATCTTACAGCAGAGACTGAGCATTTCATCACATTACTCATTTAAGAGATCAAAGTCCTGAACCATAAAGCATTAAGAGTAAGAAATAACCTCAGTTTTTAAAAGACCGCAAAATTCTTATTTAGTTTTTTTATTAATGCCTAAATTAATTCCTAAAGAAGACAGAAAAATTGAGAAAGTTTAGTTTTCCATCTTCTAGTCTGTGAGATAAAAGGTGCACAGGACAAAAGGCCAATCAAATGCAAACCATAAGTATAGCATAACGAATTAAAGGAATCTGAAATACTCTTAACCCTACAAAATTTCAAAGGAGCCAATGAGTACTTTTCTTCAAATGTAATTATACAGTCAGATTTTGTAATAAAACAACTCTCCCTGCATCAACACAATTGCAAGACAATTAGTGCCACGTCAAGGGCAAGGGAACAACTGCCATTCAGCAGCTTGAAGGAGTTCTTGTAATAAAAAGTACTACAATTACAGCCTTCTGAGAAAAAGTTTCATGTTACATTAATAATCCTTTATCGCCATGGTTTTTATCCACTGTCCTTAAATCAGTACAAAGCAGAATAAAAATGCTAACCATGAAGTTAGCTTTTAAACTCATACAAGTTACCCAGATAGGTAGCATGCAAAGAAATTGTTTTTAAAAAACATGAAATAACAGTATGTTTATCCTCATTTCTTAAAGGATTAAAATGCAGCACATTTCCTTTCTTAAAGTGAGTACAGCTCTCATTTTTAATGTTCCACCACCCCACCCTTCTGCGGCCAGCACCTGCCACTATCACACCTTCCCTCAATAGTTAAGAAAAGAGGGATATGGCTAAAATACTGGAAAGTAAGCTGAATCTTCCACCAGGAAGAATGAAGTAATTTACGTCCAAGAGAACTCTGCACACTGATACATGACTCGAGCAACCTCCTCAAGCTCCATCTCTTGCTGGTGAGTGTATTCTTCCAGAAAAGCAATCCTGTGCTAATGGGCTCATAATATTCCTTTCAGTTCTGAGATGTAACATCGAATTAGGTGCTAAGTATTGGTTGGTGCTCTCAATACAGTCAAGTTAAGAGACATTTCTAAGGAAAATACTGTTTCTGATCATTAACAGCAGATTAAATTGCTAAATGAAGAGCTAAGGATGACAGAAAGATAAGTAGTCAGAGTTTCTGCTTGTATGCCACATATTCACAATATTTGAAATATCACCTTGCTACATCTGCTTTTACATTTACGTGTATTTCGAAATTATTAAGCCATATTTAAGTTTTTCAGCAAGCAAACCAAAAATACTTTATGCTGCAACCCCTTAGAAGCTCTCCTCACTATATACTTTTCAGATCTGAAGTGACAGTTGACAGAAAACTAAACATACAAAGAATATACACCAATACAGAAAAAGTGTCCAGAAAGACATTTCAGATTCTGCTTCACTAGAATGTCATGGAGAAATAGAATAAAAGGAAGAAAATCTCATGTTTAAAATGCCTGTTTCAGCCAATAGCACAGGTGTAGGTAGCTGTAACTGTACCAGTGCTGCCTGGCATCACTGAAAGCACGGAATAATATTTGTCTAGACATTTTTAACATGTAGTACTTGGATTTCTTTCACATTCAAATGTCACTTCAAATTTCATTTACTTCTATTCTCTTGTCATTTCAATATACATCCCAAGGGAAATGCAAATTACAGTTTTCTTAAAGCTTTCTACATCTCTGGGCAGTGGCAAAGATGAGCTACAATCCTCAAAACTAAACAGATGAACTGGGAAAAGGCTGAACGGGGCAGATTGCCTGCAATAGCATCAGGACCCAAAGTGCTTCTGAAGATCTATAAACTCTAGAAGAAGCTCTACATTACCAAATACTACCTTTCTGGTGCTAGTTATAAGCCTGATGAAGTTAATAGTCCATAACCCTAAAACAATCTCTCCAACATTTAGGTATTTGGATCGCTTATTCCATCTATAGAATTCAGTTTCTTGCAAAATACTTGTAATCTATTTTTAATTGTAATTCTCTAACATAACATTATGTCTTGACTCAGTTCCACATGAAAATACAGTACTAGAATTTTTGTCAATTAGAGAAATATTAAAATTTTGCCAACTATTTCTGGCAAATACACAGACCCTTTCAGAAGGAACAGACTGCTTTTACCTTTAAAACAAAATGAGCAGATCCATTTTTTGCTTCTTTTTCACAAAATTACTCATCGCAGCCTCTTTTTTCCCCTCCTCCTACAATTCTTTGTAGGGCACAGCAAAGACAGCAGGTCTTGCTTAAAAGCAAGGCATGTTTTTTCACATAAGAGAATCTGAAGTCTTCCGTAAGATGGCTACAAACACTGTTCATAGCCATGAAAACAAACCCAGCGTTGACAGTCTGTGGAACAACACTCAATGGCAAAATGAAGCTGACATATTTATCAGAAAAGAACTTTCTTTCACTAGACCATTATTTAGTGTAAACATAATTCTGCAGAAATTTCAGCCTAATGCTCTGGTCTCTGTTACACGAGACAACACAAACAAGGTTCACGATTGTACCTGCTTGGAGAAAAGTTTAAATGCATTTCTTTATACTTCCATGTGATGACACAAAATTTTAAGAGCTTGACTTTAAAGACATTTTAAAACCAAAAGACAGGTACAAGCATAGAAGGTACTTAAAAAATTTACTCACTATAAATCATTGACATTTACAGCCAAGTGAACTTCTAGCACTGCATACCATTGTTTCAAGTTAGTACATCAACAAACTGTGAGCTATAATTGATGTGTGAGCTTTCGTGGGATATTTATTAAACTAGAATCATAGAATGGTTAGAGTTGGAAGGGACCTAAGAGATCACCTAGTTCCAACCCCCCTGCCATGGGCAGGGACACCCTCCACTACACCAGGTTGCCCAAAGCCTCATCCAACCTGGC